TCCACTCACCTCAGCCTCCCAAAGGCGGGGATTACAGGCTGAGCCACCGAGCCCGGCTGGAGGGGGAAATCTTTATGCATTTTCTGAATAAGTAACACCCCAAGACAGTCATGAGACGGCTTCTGTCCTTCCATGCAGGCGCAGAAAACGCGCAACTTGCTATGTGAAGTTCAGCTTTTCTCAGACGTGCATGTGCAGTGGGACCATTTACCACGCAGCACAAAGAGGCTGCACTGATGAGAACAAAATGTCCTAAAGACAGTGCCACCTGCTCAAGCCCAGTGAGCACCAGGTACGCAGCCTAGAGGGTGGGTGATAGGGCGAGGTAGAGCTGGGAGCAGCAGAGGGGAGCAGCTTCTGTCCTTCCAGGGCTCATCTGGGTTTGTAGTCTTCGCTGGATTCTTTGAAGGGTCGGGGCAGAAGAGGTCAGGCGCCTCTCCCTCTGCAGGGAGGAGGATGCCAGGCTGGCAGGACTGGCACAGCCTTGGCTCAGGCCCCTCAACAGCAGCCGCCTTGGCCTGCTCAGCTCAGGCCTTGCCCAAGCTCCTGTGCCTCCTTGTCCTGCACGTCAGCTCCAGCCCCACTTTCTCTTTTGTGAAGCTGAGCCAGGTGTGATCATGCCTCCCCAGTCCCTGTCCCTCTCTCTGCTTCAGTATCCCAAGATGCCCACTCCAAGGCAGAACAGACTAGGCGCCAGCCAACCCACCCACCCACTGACCCAGCCTCCACGGGTTGCTGCCCAGCCCGTTGTCCAGTCTGCCACTGCTCTCCAGATGTGCTTACGTGGATGGGCCTGAAAAGGGTGAGAGCTTGCTGACTTGTGTGGGTCCCTGCTCCTAGGTCTCCAGAAATACAGACGCTACCCTCCTGTGAGGGAGGCTGCCCCCAGACAAAGCCAAGCAGCTGTCACAGGGCGAAGCCCAAGACTTCTGAGAGGCTAGGGAAGCCTACGGAGCCCCAGGTGAGTGGGTCATTTCCTAGACGACCCCAAGCTCAACCACAGGTAGGCTTGCACATCAGCCCTGCCGACCCCCAGGCAATGCTGTCAACAGCAGGCCCAACAGCACAATTTGTGGACAAACAACAAAAAAATCTAGTGCATCTGGACAAGTTGTGCAGTCTGACAATTAGGACTGTCCTGCTCACAGGACTGGCCTCTTTGGGCTAGAGCTGCTGTGGTCACTTGGACAGGGTAGACTGTCAATGCTAAGACAACTGAGAACTTCTCAGATACCAGAACTACAGGCAAAACTGCCTTGGGAACTACCTTGGCCCGTCATGTTTTGGTAAGAAGAGGATGCTGAGCTCAAAGAAGGGAAGGAACTTGACTGAGGTTACACACAGTGAATTGAATGACTCCACCCTCTGCTCACCAAGATCAGGTTGCCTCAAGTCAGACAGCACTTGGCTG